CGTCTCCTGAACCTCATCACAGTCTTTTAGAAAAACAAGTAAATGGTCTCTTCATATGTAATACAGCCAATTTCCAAACCGTGTATTTTAGCATCTATGTCAGCTTTGCTATGATTCTCCCCTTCATACTGAAATCATATTAAAAATATTTTGGTGGGGGTGCCTGATTGTAAGAAATGAATGACATGTTACAGAATTAATTCAAATGTCATTGACTTTTTTAGTAGCATCCTGAAACATCCCATGGGGAGAATCTGACAAATGCCTACCAAAGAAGAAAAAAATATAGACTTAGGTATTCCTCTACCCTATTAAAGATGTGAAGTGATACATCAAATACCAAATCAATCAGAGGTTTTGAACCAGCTCTGTTACTTTTAAATTATTCAGTCATTTCCTGTGCACCTCAGCTTCTCCTTAATGAAAGGGAGTTGAAAGACAGCAGTCAAAGAGCACATTTCATTTGCCTGGATTTTCTGCCACTTTTTTTTCCTAAAGGAATTTGTATAGACTGTTTCTTATTTTCAATATTAGGGTAAGAGAAAGAAAAAAACAAAAAACTTTTTATTCTTTAGGCCAGCCTCAAGATGCCAATATTCTCCTTGCCAGGACTGTGATACCATCTTTCATAATTTGCTTACAGGGCACGATCTTTGGACCTCCATGCTCCCTATCATTTTCAAAGCAAAGGATATACCGTACTTAGTTTGCCAGCTCTCTTTAATTTTGGAATCAATCACTGAAATAACTGCTGTCATCATTACATGCTCCTAATTAAGCTCAGTAATTGTTTTTCAACACAAATTCAAAGTTGTTGGCTTAGCTGCAGCAAATGAATTTTTCACAGTATCCCCATAATCATGCTGATCACTATGGTACAATGATTATTAAACTGTGCATATAGATCAGGGGTTCAACTCCTGGTGTGGGCTCTGTCCTCATTAACACGTTTAAATCAATGGAGAAACAGTATTAATGAATTCAAATGATTGCCATGCACATGTTACTGATAGCATTGCATACTCACGAGTGTTTTCCTATGATGCAAACTAGGAATTATGTTTTAAATGATTATTTTAAGCATCATCTGAATTAATATCATATTAATTCCAGGAAACATAATGGATCTGAGCTAAAATCTTGACCTTTTGATGGGGAACATCCTTCACTATTAAGTAGTTCAGCCCTGTGTCAAGAATATAATGGCTGGGGGCTGTGTTTGTTTGCTGTCCTTCCATAATGC